CCTGCATTTTCCATTTTCCTACGATTTAATACGAAAATCGACCTCAAACACGATAATAGCCTCAACGAACCTTAGATTTGAAGATTCATTTGTGTGAAGAAGAAGATAACCGAAAAAAGTAGAATTGTAGCTTCCAATACGAAGAGAGAACCGTTGGCTCTGTTTTTATTATTTTCGCAAAGAAGAAAAGAAAGGATGACGAAGATGGATCTAAGAGAGAATAAATATAGGTTCTTGCTTTGTTTTCTTCTTTCCTTTCTTGCAGAAGAGAAGAAACGAGAAAGAATGGAGCCGCAGGGGATAACTGCTACATGGAGGCTCAAGGGAGGTCAATTGTTTTTGGTTTTAATAGATTCGATTGGTTGTTGAGAGTATTTATTAATTGGTTATTGGATTTATTTAATTAAGTTAATAAAGAGAGGATGATGGTGGAGTGTAGAAAAAAAAGAAGAATGGGAGGGTATTTAAATTTAAGGGGGGTAGTTAGAATTGTTCCTTTATATTTACGGCAATATAGCAATTGATCCTATTTTTCTCCCGACGTCTTGAGAGACATTTATGCAAATCCACAATACATAAAATCAAAATTGTACACAACTCAAACTCTAATGGTAATTATTAGATCCCAATTAACTCAGATTTTTACTATTGAAATTTTTAGATCCCAAATTGAGTTTTACTTCAAACCCTAATTTCAAAGCCGATACATCTCAACAAATCCAACATATCTACACTTGAAATCAAAACCCAGTGAAATTGAGAGACCCTTCATCGCCAATACAAACATAGTTGAAGGAAACCCCATTTTCGAAAAATGAAGAGATGAGATTTTGAGCATATTTAGAAGTTTTCTCAATGATAGAGACGACGACGACGGAAACAACGGAAGCAGAGACAGCGATATAGAGACAACGAGACGGAGACGACAAAAAATTTGGAAATCGCTTTCCGACAAAGAGAAAAAAGGGAAGGAGAAAAAAAAAGGGGATTAGGTTTGATTTTTTGATTTGGACAAGGAAGATTTGTTTTCACCCATTTTTTTGTTGGATCCGGCTTGGGGTTTGGATTCTAGTATTTTGGGTTTGTAATTTTTAAGATTTATTAAACCCTTACTAGTCTTTACATATGTTTTTATGGAAAATAAATTAGAGACGATTAGATAGAAAACCATGAGATGAGACATAATTGGTAAATTAGTTAAGTTGACTTTGGCATATATAATATTTGCTGACTTTGGATGTAGTTTGACGAAAATGTCCTTCACGTGAGGTGCGTTATCAGTAAATTAGGCGGGCAGTAAAAGATCTGGCAGATCCTCAGTAGGATTTTGTAAGTGTCTATTCTTCTAGTAGGTCCCACGTTGTGAGCTAAATGACCAAGAAATATAGCAGATCTTGAGTAAGATTTTGTAGGCTTCTATTTGCCATGTAGGTACCACGTTGTAAGCTAAATGACCACAAAAAAGTCTGACTCATCCTGTTAAAAAATAAAAAGTTATACGTGTATTTATAAAGAGTTACCGGGTTAAATAGAAAATTAGACGTATATCTACATGGAGTTGCCGGATTAAAAAGAAAGTTAGACGTATATCAACATGAAATTATCAGGTTAAATAGAAAGTTAGGCGTAAATCTACACATATATATGACACAATCCCTTTCTTCTCATGTTACAAAAATATATAACTTGTTATCAAACTAGTTTTACATGTTAAACAAACTCGTTACTCCAATGATTATCTTCATAATTATGTATGCTATTGAAACGATAATTATGAAGTTAGCGAGATTCTAAAATAATTATCTTCGATCTTTTATTGATAACCAATTACAAAAAATATAGATAATTCGGTTAATAAAATTGTTAGCTCGACATGTCCAACTTTAAATGATTGGTTCCAAATTTAGATGGATACTTCAAATCAAAAAATTATTTGCATCTGATGATTCACGATGGCGGCAATGACAACGAAGTGACCATGGCGGTGACAATGGTTGGACTTAACCTCCACAATTCTTCTGCGGCCATGATTTTGCGTCCGTGGTGAAAAAAAAGATACTTGGATATGAGATCTAGAGGTTTGGATATTCTCGTTGGTCAAAACCAATGTTAACACTGGATTAGATATGTTTACAGAAAAAAATTACAAAGAAAAAGAAAAGAGTTTCGATTTGATACCCAATCACTAACCTTTTTAGATTTGTCATCGAATCCAATAAAACACATACAAAAACAAAATAAAAATTGGTGTTTTTTTAACCAAAGTCGTTGGCGCCGTCCTTTATTGGTGAAAATTGTTTGGATTTTCATGATACAAAATATAAGATGAATCAACTTATCAA